TACATGATAAGATATGAATTATATACAGCAGAAGGATTGATCTTTAGACTAAATCGCATTATAATTCCAAGAAATCTACACCGTAAAGTCATCAAAGCACCTCACAAATTAGGTCATTTTGGGATGACTAGAACCAAACAGATGCTGCGAGAGAAATATTGGTTCCCAGCGATGAACAATCTTGTTGAGCAGATCATAGGTCAATGCTATGAATGCCAAGTAACTACTCAACAGCATAAACAAGAACCAATTAAAATGACTACCATACCAGAGAAACCCTGGGATGTCATATTAGTTGATTTTGGAGGACCGTATCCGGATGGGCATTATAATCTAGTGGCCATCGACAAGAGAACCAGATACCCAGAAGTGGAAACCGTGTACTCAACAGAAAAAGCCCAAGAAAATGTTTGCCACACATGGTACACCAAGGCAGCTAGAAAGTGACAATGGTCCACCTTACAATTCCAGAGAGTTTGCAGACTTTGCAAAAGAGGAAGGATTTCATCACCATCTTGTAACACCCGAACATGCACAAGCCCATGGGGCAGCAGAAAGTTTCATGAAGATGCTAAACAAAACCGAAAGAATAGCACATCTTCAAGGCAAAGACTGTGAAACCGCCGTACAAGAAATGCTAACAGGGTACCGTTCAACACCGCACCCAGCAACAAATACAACACCATATGAAGCACTGATGAAAAGACAAGTGAGAACAAAGCTTGATCATCAGATGAGAGATAAAGATAAAGAGACTATACGAGATATTATCATTAATGATAGAGACTGTATAAACAGAGACTGAAACGCAGTGCTGAGAACAGAAACACCAAAGCATATAACTTTGTAGTAGGTGATTATGTTCTAGTAAAGCAACACAAGAAGAACAAATGGACAACAGCTTATGAACCAGCATTCTACATCATCTACCGAATTGATGGATCAAGTATTGCAGGCAGACGTATCACTGATGGAAGAGAAACATACCGTGATGCAAGCAAATTCAAGCTTGTGAATGCAGTAGTCCAGAACATCGATGAAGGACAACAAATACCTCTAACTCACAATAAAGAGTTAGATTCTGAAGACTGGAGAGAACAACTACTACTGATGACCAATCAGGAAGAGCAAGAAGTGAGACAACCAGAGCAACAAGCAGAATCAGAAACTGTTTGCAATACACCAAGCAAACTGAAATCTGAACCACCAGTTATTAGACCACAGAGGAACAGACGCAGACCAGCTTACTTGAATGATTACGAGTGAACTCTTAACTGAATATTGTGACTCTTGATTGATTATGTTTGAACTCTTAACTGATATGTTATTGTTAACCATATGCTAATGAGAAGAAGAAATTAACGCGAAAGAGATAATCATCCAGATAGGTTAATTTATGTTACTTTATATACATATTGTTATCGTTATATAATATCGAGAATATCGTTTATGAAAGTATCACAACCTCTTGAGCATATGAATTCTTGAAAAAAACAATATCGTTCCATCGTATTATGATATACATGCTTACTATTAACTTGTATGATGAAAATCATAATCTCATAAGAAAGGCAGAAATGTAATATCCAGACGTTAAACGATAGTTTTAGTATTGTTGCCATTTGGCGTTTGTTATATCTTTGCTATGTATGACGTCATTGAGACGCGCATTGCATTGTGCGTTGTTACTAAAAATATATAGAATCCAACATGGCTGAATAGCGGGACCAAAAGCAATGTGTTGACTATTTATTGATAGGGACAGATATTACATTTACAATCCCTATATGAGTACAAGTGTGGAGTTTACAGTCTTCATATGAGTACAAGTGTGGAGTTTACAATCTCTATATGAGTACAAGTGTGGAGTTTACAATCTTCATATGAGTACAAGTGTGAAGTTTACAATCTCCATATGAATACATATGTGACAACTTCAGTTTCTATATAAATACAGGTGTGTTGTTTAAAATCTCTATACGAATACAATTGTGTTGTTTGCAATCTCCATGTGAATACAAATGTGTTGTTTACAATCTCCATATGAATACAAATGTGGAGCTTCCAATGTCCACGTGAATACAAGTGCGGAGTTTACAATCTGTACTCTATATGAATACAAGTGTGGAGTTTACAATCTCTATATGAATACAAGTGTGGAGTTTACAATCTCTATATGAGTACAAGTGTGGAGTTTACAATCTTCATATGAATACAAGTGTGGAGTTTACAATCTCTATATGAATACAAGTGTGGAGTTTACAATCTCTATATGAGTACAAGTGTGGAGTTTACAATCTCTATATGAATACAAGTGTGGAGTTTACAATCTCTATATGAGTACAAGTGTGGAGTTTACAATCTTCATATGAATACAAGTGTGGAGTTTACAATCTCTATATGAGTACAAGTGTGGAGTTTACAATCTTCATATGAGTACAAATGTGGAGTTTACAATCTCCACGTGAATACAAGTGCGGAGTTTACAATCTGTACTGTATATGAATACAAGTGTGGAGTTTACAATCTCTATATGAGTACAAGTGTGGAGTTTACAATCTTCATATGAATACAAGTGTGGAGTTTACAATCTCCATATGAATACAAGTGTGGAGCTTCCAATGTCCACGTGAATACAAGTGCGGAGTTTACAATCTACTGTATATGAATACAAGTGTGGAGTTTACAATCTCTATATATGAGTACAAGTGTGGAGTTTACAATCTTCATATGAATACAAGTGTGGAGTTTACAATCTCCATATGAATACAAGTGTAGAGTTTACAATCTCTATATGAGTACAAGTGTGGAGTTTACAATCTTCATATTAGTACAAATGTGGAGCTTCCAATCTCCACGTGAATACAAGTGCGGAGTTTACAATCTGTACTGTATATGAATACAAGTGTGGAGTTTACAATCTCTATATGAATACAAGTGTGGAGTTTACAATCTCTATATGAGTACAAGTGTGGAGTTTACAATCTTCATATGAGTACAAATGTGGAGCTTCCAATCTCCACGTGAATACAAGTGTGGAGTTTACAATCTGTACTGTATATGAATACAAGTGTGGAGTTTACAATCTCTATATGAGTACAAGTGTGGAGTTTACAATCTCTATATGAATACATAATAATATTACAATTACTGGGGTTGAACAACAATATGAAACTAGACAACTAATGAGCGCCTCACAATTTCCATATATGAATACAAGTGTTGAGGTTGAAGTAATAATGTGATGAAATCGCGCATATATTAACGCCATAATCAGTTAAACACAGTCACTGACAAAGACTGTAAACGTGTATCGGTATTAAAGACGGACAGCGGATTTAGTCGTGTTGTGTTTATGAGGTATAGAACGGCATAATCAAGGCGTTATTTTCTGGCAATACCCCATCACGCAAGGGCACTCGATGTTCGATCAGTGTTTAACAGATGCAATGGAATTTCTTTACTAATAAATTATTATTATCACAAATTTAAATGAACTAATTATTAAATATAATCTTCCAATGTCCAAAAATATACCCAGTCGAATACTTCGCGTGTAGTTTTCATATTATTATGACATCACCACGTATAACAGCGACGTAAAATGGTACAACTAGCTTACCTGCGTCGCATAGAAGACATCTAACGTGTTGTTCAAAGCATGATAAAACACAGAACGCGTCATTAGGAGAGTTATTAAAGACAATAAGAGCACAAGTTGTCGTAGTTTAATTCTCATCCTGGCTCGAAATAAAACTCGCATTTATCGACGTTAGTAAGCCATGCTATTAAATCATCTGCGTTGACTGCGTAATATATCGGCTAAATGTCAGCCAGACAACAGCTGCGCGACAAACAACTTCGATCCCGATTACGTTTAATTCGAATGTATATTTCATTAAATACATTTTAATTAAATTGTACGTCACTGCGTGACTGACCGACCTACATATGCGCATAGTTATCAAATATTACGATAAAACTAATAATAAGCGTCAGAGTTGAAATTAATATTTCACACGTCAAGTGTGGAGGAGTTCGTGGAACGTGATTTTGTTCACAGGTTATTGCGCATGTGCAAATACGGATGGCACTTGGAGTCATCCCGAAAAGTTGTTTTGACACTGAAATCGTTGCCCTTCTATGTTTTTTGGTTCATGTTATGTTAAACGATGCCGAATAACTGTGGTACTCGGGGATATTCATTGAAATTGCTTTTTATTTTCAATATATTGTCATCAAATATTCACCTGCATGTTGTCCAAATTGAACGACCATTATATTTTCCTATCAATATTATGCACCAGGAACTTGGTGGTCAGATTACTCATTACTTATTGTTCTACAACATGTAAGTTTGTCTACTAGTGATATAAGGCTTCTTATTTCTTAAACACAATTATTTGTTCTGAGACGTGTTTGATAGTTGTATTGTTTTGAATTAAGTATATGCCTTCTTGGAGTCGGCTCCATCGATTTTTACATGATAACCATTTCAAATACTTCAGCATACAATTTGAGAGCAACTTAAGTTCAGACTAGAGAATAACCCTGGCAGATCTATTTTGTAAACGTTCACGTTTAATGTTGTAACCGATTAGTACATGTTGATCCACAGCTAGACCAGACCACATCAGCACATAGCATAATAGTTAGCTTATTCAATGTACCCTTTCCTGAACATGATTCAGGCCGGAATTATAAATTGATTTATTTTTATACGCGAAAAATGAAGCAGCGTCATTAAAATAAGAACACTTTTGCAATTCAGTATTAAATTAGTTATTAACATAAATAACAAATAACCATGGACCTAGTAAATTGTTTTTGGATACACCAAAGTCTAAAGACAGTGGGTTATTCCGTTAATAAAAACCGTCACTGTTGTGGACTAGTAAGATAATCACTAAACCATGCGTTCGCATTATCCTTGACATACATTTTCACAAAGCCCACACAGTTAAATATTTGGTATCAAATGGATCAAACAAGCTTGTAGAATACAATTATAATGAACTCGGGATTATGAAAATAGTTTGGTAGGTATTTATCTCTGAAGTCTTCTTAACATGGACATACTAGTCAAAACGGTATTTATCATCTTCTACTTGTTCATTTTTACAAACAAGACGAAATCTAGATTTCTGGATTCTGTTGCTCAATTTGTCATTTCTGATTTGACACCGTTAGACGACACGTTGCAATTATCATTTTTTATCCATTAATATAATATTTCCCACAGTCATAATTTGATTTGAAATCAATCAAATGTATCCAGATTGCGCATTGATGCCACAATTGTCAATGTGTTCTTTTCTGGTGTAGAGTACACGTCGTTCATTTCCAACACGTAAGCTACGGTTACACCAACACAAACGATGTTAACGCCGGTTATTCCAGTTCTACCGTGGTTTAATTATGTTTTCATTCCCTGTCAGTGGAGTTACACATTTAAAAATAATCACACTGTATATTATGTGAATTTCAAACCATTGTGACACGCGCATTAAAATGTATGTATGACAGAAGCCAGCTGCAGTATATATTAATTAATTCAACAATGTGAACAGCAAAACATGATGTCAAAATGACTGGATATTCTGACGGCGCCATAGAAGACTGTACAGTCTGAGCTTGTTTGTTACACCTGATTTGTCCCATCAAATTTGTCTGACCATGTGAGCTGCTGATAAACAATATAATTGCTACTCACATGTTACTCTAATCAAGTAAGTTGATCAGACTTGCTGAACAGACTTCGATTTCTACAGACCCCGACCATGATAATACAATGACATCACGTACGTACATTTGGTTCACACGCCGTTGCAGTATTGTTTATTAGAATCAACAACTTGCATGTTTAGGGTGGTCGATACAAACATATATTACAGGAATTTGATAAATGGATTGTTTACTAATTGTATTCGGTAGTGGCGACTTTGCAAGGCTTTAACAGTGAGACACGTCCCTGCAATCACGTGAACGTGCCAACGACGGCTGCGATTGGCTGATCCCATGTTTACTCTGCCACGCCTTAGAGATTTATGATAGAGTTTGTAAGATTTGTAAGAGGAGAAGGAGGGAAGTGGATAGCGGGGCGTTACCTCAGCTGACCGTTTGTCAATAAAGCTGTAATTAACTAATGTGCATTCCTTTGGATACAACCCCGGTGTCATCTCCATCGTAAGAGTTATCTGCACGCTCACCAGAGTCCTCTCACACCGACGTTTCGTTCACAACACATGGTGGAGTAACCGGGCACC